GTGGCAGTGTGGAAGAAACCCCGGGCCAGGGGGGAGCCCTGGACCTTGACCGCCAATTGGACTGTATCTCACCCTGAGTGGGTGAGGTCATTGTTGTGAGCCCCCTTGTAGCCTCTAAGGGACTCTTGCTGATGGGACTGAATCTGTTACAGTGCTCCACTCAGGTCTCAGTGCGTCCTTGCCCTGCCTATCAGAGATTTTTGGTGAGCAGTGACCCTCATGCCACGCCTGCACACCCAGTATCTTGCACCCCGGCCGTTTGTTGAGTGTGCGTGCGGCGCGAATCTGGTCACACGTCCTTTTTTACCGTCCTTGGCTGAAGATGGAGTCAGAGCAGTGCTCTTCTTCCTGACAGGAAAACCAGATTATTAGAATTGGTTTAGACTTTTCCCTCATAGTTTAGTCAGTTATTGTTTGTTTCAACGTTCATTATAAAAAAAAAAAAAAAAAAAAAAGTGCCATGGTGGTGGCTTTTTTCTTCAACATGTTGGGTTCTCCAGCTTTAAAAGATGCAACTCATGCTGAGACTCGATGCCTATTTCTGATGGCTATGTCCAGTGCTAAATGCCCAGGAGAGTCCTCATGCAGCACATAAGCGCCCTCACTGTCAAACTGACAGCCAGAGCCAGAAAAGACCGAAATGCAGCTCAAAAACCTCCTCTGGGAGAAGTCCCTACAACCTCCATGGGACAAACCTGAGGACCCCCAGGGACAGCAGAAGCCCACAGACAGGGTTGCCTCACCACCCCGCAAAGGCTCACAAGCCTCAGGGGGGTTCCCCAGCAGGCTCATTACCAGCACTGCCCAGAGCCTCTCATTCCCCAGTGCCTTCAGTCTCCGGTACCGCAGAGAAATGCAAGTCTGCACCAGCCAGGAGAGCTGAATCAGAACCCAAGTGCACAACACCGATTGGTGCTGCTGAGGCAGCAGCACCCACAAATCCGCATATGCTACCAGCACCAGCTCCTACAAGCACCTCTACAGTTCCTGAACAGACTAGTCAGACCAAACTTGACTGCGCTCTGACACCTCAGCATAAAAAAGCACTGCACAAGACGTGGCACTTACAAAAATCTCCTTAGCCAGTCACACCACTCAGATCAGGAGCTTGTTCACCACATTCGTCAGTGGTGTCTTATACCCAGGGGTGCACTCATATGTGAGAGGGCTCCTCACTTGCCTACACTGCTCTCACCAAGAACTGACTGTGGCAGTAAGCATAGGAGCAGATTTTCATCATGCCATTCATCTCCCTAGGGATCAATGGTTTCCTGGCATTTATATCCGGATCATTCCCTACATCATCATCCCATGTGGCCCAACCAACTGTGGATGTATCTTCCATAATAGTTCCAGCCTCAATGGGCTCCCTTCCTGAAGGGAGGTTCCAAAGAGGATGGAGAGAGGCTGTTCTCAGTAGTGATGGATGGCAGAACAAGGAGCAATGCTCTCACATTACAGTGGGGGAGGTCTAGGTTGATATTAGGAAAAACTATTTCACTAGGAGGGTGGTGAAGTACTGGAATGGGTTACCTAGGGAGGTGGTGGAATCTCCATCCCTATAGAATACAAGGACTGGAAGGGACTTCAAGAGGTCATCGAGTCCAGTCCCCTGCCCTCATGGCAGGAACAAATACTGTCTAGACCATCCCTGATAGACATTTATCTATCCTACTCTTAAATATCTCCACAGATGGAGATTCCACAACCTCCTTGGGCAATTTATTCCAGTGTTTGACTACCCTGACAGTTAGGAACTTTTTCCTAATGTCCAACCTAAACCTACCTCCCTTGCTGCAATTTAAGCCCATTGCTTCTTGTTCTATCCCCAGAGGCCAATAGAACAAAGTTTTCTCCCTCCTCCTTATGACACCCTTTTAGATATCTGAAAACTGCTATCATGTTCCCCCTCAATCTTCTCTTTTCCAAACTAAACAAACCTAATTCCTTCAGCCTTCCCTCATAGGTCATGTTCACTAGACCTTTAATCATTCTTGTTGCTCTTCTCTGGACCCTCTCCAATTTCTCCACATCTTTCTTGAAATGCGATGCCCAGAACGGAACACAATACTCCAATTGAGGCCTAACCAGTGCAGAGTAGACTTCTCGTGTCTTGAAGTCTTGGCTTAACAAAGCCGTGGCTGGGATTATTTATTTGGGATTGGTCCTGCTTTGGGCAGGGGGCTGGACTTGATGACCTCCTGAAGTCTCTTCCAGACCTATGATTCTATGATCAACGAGGCTATCCTAGAACCATCAGATGCAAAATCCAACTCAAACCATTGGGCAGATAGGAAAATATTTTGTCCCTGTAAAAGATATGGATTTCCTCTTCGCACATCCCCAGCCAAACTCACTGGTCATAGACTCGGTTAATCACAAGGCTAAGAACCCACAGTTTAAGTCTACGCGCTGCGACAAAGAGTGTAAGTGGCTAGACACCATTGGCCGCAAGGTGTACTCTTCTGCCACCAATTCAGGATATCAAATGATATCCTTCTGGCCAACTATGATCATGGCAACTATGCTAAACTACAGGACCTGCTGCAGGACCTTCCTGACGTTAAGAGACCACATCTCCAGTCCATTATTAAAGAGGGTTTATCTATAGCAAAGACAGCCCTGCAGGCCGCAATGGATGTCGCTGACACTGCGGCTAAAGCCACAGCCACATCCATCATAATGCATAGAGCCTTGTGGCTGCAGTCATCAGGGCGTCCCAAAAGAATTGCAGTAGAAGGTGGAGGACCTCACCTTTGATAGAAAACAGCTATTCGTCACAAAGAAAGATGAGGTCCTGCACTCAATGAAGGAGTCTCGCACCACACTCTGGAGATGTATACCCCCACCTAAATAAACTCAAGTATACCCCCTACCAAAGGCCAAGGGACTATAATTATAACTTACAGGCAACACCAAAGGCCATATGACAACAGGCCTAAACAGTGCCCTAACAGGAAAAGGATGCAGAAATATCAGTCCTCCACCACTCAATCGACCTCCAGGGTAGATTGGCAGAGGCCCTGGAGGTTTTTCGCCTTCCTCTGGAGCATGGGACACAGGTCACTTGCGGTCTTTGGGGTCTTTGAAAGATCTTGGGGTCTTTGAAACATCATTTCAAGGACTTTAATATCTGAGACACAGGTGAGAGGATTATTCTAGCAGTGGGTGGGTGAGATTCTGTGGCCTGCATTGTGCAGGGGGTCAGACTAGATGATCATAATGGTCCCTTCTGACCTTAAAGTCTATGGCTATGTCTACACTAGCAGCTTCTTGCATCAGAAGTATGCAAATGAGGCTAAGTGTGGAATATCACAGAGCCTCATTTGCATACCTAATGAACCGCCATTTTTGCATAAGAGGCTCTTGCGCCAGAAGAAGCTGTCTACACTGCCCCTTCTTGCGCAAGAAAAACCCTCTTGCGCAATGCCGTTATTCCTGAAAATAATTGGTGGAACAAGATTGCGCAAGAAGGTTTTTCTTGCGCAAGAAGGGGCAGTGTAGACAGCTTCTTCTGGCGCAAGAGCCTCTTATGCAAAAATGGCGGTTCATTAGGTATGCAAATGAGGCTCTGTGATATTCCACACTTAGCCTCATTTGCATACTTCTGATGCAAGAAGCTGCTAGTGTAGACATAGCCATAGACTTTAAGGTCAGAAGGGACCATTATGATCATCTAGTCTGACCCCCTGCACAATGCAGGCCACAGAATCTCACCCACCCACTGCTAGAATAATCCTCTCACCTGTGTCTCAGATATTAAAGTCCTTGAAATGATGTTTCAAAGACCCCAAGATCTTTCAAAGACCCCAAAGACCGCCCGACTGTAGACATAGTCTGAGACCTCACACAACCAACAAATTTGAAGTCTTGGTTGAGGTCTGAGCAACCACCCCACAGTTCCAGTGTGTTCCAATGCCACCTTCCATCACTGCCTGAGACCCTTCTACCAACAGTTGGCCCAAATTACAACAGACCTGGAATCTGGGTCCTGGAAATTATCAAATCAGGTTACACAATCCCCTTCACATCCATGCCCCCCACCCAACCTCCTACCCTGTCCCTCTTCAGGGACCCATCTCACGAGCCCCTATTACAAGCAGAGGTGCAAAAGTTATTTGCCCTAGGGGCAATAGAACCTGTTCCCACAGAATATCGAGGAAGCGGATTCTACTCCCAACTATTTCCTAACAGTCAAAAAAACAGGGGAATAAAAAAAAATGGGGGAATGGAAACCAATTCTGGACCTCAGGAAACTCAAGTTCATCCTCAACACAAAATTCAGGATGGTGGCTCTGGCAACTATTATACCTACTCTGGACAAAGGGGACTGGTTCTCAGCCCTCAACCTTCAAGATGCATGTTTGCATGTAACCATCCACCTGGCCTACTGGAGATTTCTCAGATTCATCATAGGTCAAGACCATTACCAATGCAGGGGCTTCCCCTTTGGTCTATCTACAGCCCCTCGAGTATTCTTGAAGACGCTAGCCATAGTTACAGCCTTCCTCAGAAGACAGAACATCATCATCTTCCCTTACCTTGACAATTGTCTTATCAAAGGCTCCTCTTTTCAACAAACAATAATGATGACAACTGCTACCAGGGATGTTTTTCCCAACTTGGCCTGCTTATCAATATACAAAAGTTTGTGTGGGTTCCCCAGGTAAAGACAACTTTTCCTAGTCTTGTATAGAATTAGATTAGTAAAGAATTAAATGACAAGAGGATGGGTACAATTACGGTTTGTTCCACATGCAGGGCCAAGATGATGGCTATCAAAAGAGGAAGAAAGGACTGGAGCCAGGGAAGGGAGCCTGGGCTGTCAAGATGGAACCATGTTTGGTACACAGTTTATATCCCAGAAAGAGAAGCAAAACTGTTCTGTATTTTTAGCTGCTGTTATTGATAGTGAGGGAAATCCATCCTGTGATAAGGTGAGTGTTTTTACTTTCATAAAACTAAGAAATCAGTCATTTCCTTTTGTATATTTTTGACAGGGATTGGATACAGGTTACTTCCATGTGAAGACGAAAATGTTTTCAGGAAGTAATGAGCCTATGACATCTTTTCCTGTGCCTTATGATCTGCCCCCAGAACAGTATGGAAGCAAAGGTAAGACGTACTGTACTCTTGGAGGGAAAAGTGTGCATAGTACACCAAAGCCAAATCGTTTTGTCCAATTTCAAACCCCCTCATATGCTCTGTGTTGGCATTTATGCCTTCCAGTACACTGCTTTGTGGCTTGAAAGCAAGGGATTGAGGATTTTTTGTAATGTTACTAGTGAGAAGATAGAGCAAGAGGTTAATACAGCTAGGGGGTATATGCATGTAGAAACATGAAGTCTTGTATTTACTTCTAGTGTGATTTTCAGAGTTTGTAAACTTCACAAAGGTCTTTTGTTCTTTTATTGACTGATTTGGTTTATTTATTTTTTGGTTTGGTTAAGTGAGTTGAATAGTTACCCTTTCCATTCTAGGGATAGGGCAAGTAGATTTTGTTCCTGGGCAAGTGCTCTGTTATAATGATTTTGCACAGCTGCTTTAAGAGTCTGGGAGTTGGAGGAAATCAAAGACTTTAGGAGAAGGAAAGTAGAGATATGAAGGAGAAGCATTAAGTATGGTGAAAAATAACAAAGTTCAGAGAGAACATGAAATAAGAAAGTGTGTGTGAACTAAAATTCAAAAGAAAAAATAAATTCAAAAGAAAAAATAAATCCATAAGGAAGGCTACTCTACATAAGATCTAGATTCTGTGGCCTCTCTATCTACAAGAGTAGCTCTTGGATGTTGTTGTCTGGCTATTTCCATAGCTGCCTGGAAAAACCAAGGAATTCAGGGTAGAGTGGGTGAACATCAATTCTACTCCCTTGTCTGGTACAGAGTATTGCTTTTCTGCCACTTGGGAGTCGGGACTTGGAGTAGCCAGTATGTGCCATCCAGCCCTTGTCAATTCTGGTATGGCTTCATTTACTGGGACCACAACCTGACTGGATCTCACAGACTGTAGGATATCCAGGAATAGAATAAACATAGAGACCAGCATCCAAAGAAATATCCTTTATTTGGTGGGCTTCCCTGAAGCATCACCATAATTCTCAGGGTATTCTAAGCTCTGACTATTCCTGCAGCATCATGCATATACTTGTTTACTGCTTTATCTATTCTGTGGGTAAGGTAACGACCTTGTGGAATTGGAGACTTTTGAAAGTCTCATACTATTAGGTTCAATTTATATATCTTTTTCTAAAGGAAATGCAATTGGAAAAAAAATTGAAAAAAATTCCTGACTACGTTCTAGGTTATACATGAAAGACTGAAGAAAACATTGAGAAGAGACTGATATAAGCTTATATTTTATGGATAAGGCTATGATTCGGTCATGGATGTGTTACTAAAAGTCGTGAACAGGGTCAGGGCAATAAACAAAAAATCACCATCCCTGACCTCTCCATAACTTATACTACAACTGTCCTTGACTGAATATTAGCTGGGGGTAGGGAGGGCTGCTGCTTGACATGTGGGGAGGGAGGGACACTGCTTGAGTAGGTGCTGTGGAGCCAGCAGCACTAGCTGCTGGGGGTGCCAAATAATGGTTCTTAAGCTGCCCCTGACACTCCTGCTAGAGACTTCTGAGCTGCAGCTGCTGATGCTCCTGTCTCCTTTGAGACTGCTACTCAGGCCATCCCAGGGGCCAGCCTCCCTGGCCACTGCTTGGGTAATCTCACGCTAGCTGCTTGGGGCCACCTGAGCAATGGTCAGTACAGCTGGTCTTGGGGTTACCTTAACGGGCTAGTTGAAGAACTGCTCCAGCAGTTGTTGGAATGGCTGTTTCTGAGGCTACCTGAGCAGCTAGTCCCAGCTCCAGCCACACTGTCAACTGCAGAAGTCATGGAGGTGGTGGAAGGTCACAGAATCCATGATTTCTACTACCTCTGTGACAGACACAAGAGGAAACTGTTTACATCTACCGCCCTTCAGTTTAGAGTCTCCGACTATCAAGCCCTTATTACCAAATACAATTTTCTGAATTACAGGCAGTCCCCGGGTTACGTACAAGATAGGGACTGTAGGTTTGTTCTTAAGTTGAATTTGTATGCAAGTCGGAACTGGTACATATTGTAGGGGAAACTCTAGCCAAACATTTCTCCAGAGCTCAGTTTTATTCTCCCACACCTCACTTCCCTCAGTCCTTTATTCTCAAGCTGAGGTGTCTGCTGAGAAAAGCCGCTCTGTGTCTCCCTCATCTGCTGGGGAGGAGGGCGCTAGCTTCGCGTCTCCCTGGTCTGCTGGGGGGAAGCAGCTAGTGCGGGGTTGCCTCACCTCGTTTGTAAGTAGGGATCTGATGTAAGTCGGATCCATGTAACCCGGGGACTGCCTGTACTCTGATTTCCTGGATTCTTGGCACAAGTTAACTTAAGAGAACAGGGCTCATTTTCAAGCCTTTATTGATGAGGACAGATCAGTGGCCAAAACTTCATTATAAGCTGCAGATGATTCAGCAACGAGACCCATGGCAACAGCCATTGTAATGCAGTGGGAATCATGACTGCAGTCTTCAGGGTTTCCCATAGAGATCCAAAACATTTTCAGGGACTTAGCCTTCAATTTCCTCCCCATGGATAGAAGTCACACTTTGGGTACTCTGATGAGCTTCCATCAATTTGCCTCCCTGTTAGACTGAGGAGCCCAGATGGGTGAGCAGTTTTATAGTGCAGCTAAGGATGTTAAGGACTAGTCAACTATCCAATAAGCATTTGCTTATCGGATAGTCTCTCAACTAGTCGATTCTCTTCCCCCTTCTCCCCCCCCCCCCCCCGGCCCATCTGCCTCTGACTAGTCAATTAACCACATTTTAACATCCCTAGTGCAAGCCACGTGGTATAGTCAGGAAACCAGAATACACACGAATCTTTTGAAACTGAGAACATTAGCCGAAGCTTACATACCATTCCTGCCATTCACACAGTCCCCGCATGGCCAGATGATGTCAGACAACATAACCAAGTAACCATAGATGGAGGAAGTTGAGTATCTAGAAATGCATCACCCTACTGAATGTTTATCACCTGGATGCCTGGAATTCACTGGCACACATTTCAGAATTGTGAGTGGAAGTTACAGCATCTTCATTCAGTGGGGAACCCCACACTTGGAAACTGTTTGCTTCCCAGGCAAAGAGGAAATGCAACATATAGTGCACCAGGGAGCTCAAGAACTGTACTTTAGAAGTGATGCACTCCTACTGCCTTGGGCAGCACACTTGAGCTTTGCTTCCCTCCCATCCCTCTACTACTTCAGGTTCTAGGGGAGATTAATCTGGAAAGGGCATGAATCATCCTCATTGCCCCAAATGGTCCAGAGTGTTCTCTTGCAAAGTCTCTCTCAAATGTCATCCCATCCATCTTATCAGCATTCAATCCTTCATGGATCTCTCAACGCATAAGAATGGTAGGGTCAGGTATTCTAACCCAGATGCATGCTGTGCGGATGGGCATAAAGTATAGAGCATTCCCGCTCTGAATCTGTGCAAACCATTCTTAACAGCAGAAAACTTGCCAGGAAGTGTTATCATGCCAAATAGAAACATTCTCTGTTTTTATCCAGCAAAATTATATCTCCCGATACAGCAGATACTTATGCTATTTTAAAGTGTCATCTTACTGGCATGATTACTGATCTTTCTCTTATCTCACTGCAGCATCTCTTAGTGGAGGAGAAGTTGATCTTACTCAATCAGTAACCGCCAGGTTCTTGAAGAGTCTGATCAGAACAATTCTGACGGTAAAGAAGCCAAATTCACAGGGATCTTAGTGCTTTTGGTACTCACTAAGCCACCTTTTGAACCACTAGCTATGTGTTCTGTCTCACCTGTCAGTGAAGGTCACTTCCTCGTTGCCATAACCTTGGCCAGAGGAGTAGGTATACTTGGGACCCTAAAGGCCCATCCACCATATGCAATATTCCAGAAGGACAAATGTCTCACTATGATTACACCTGAAATTCACTTAGAAGATAGTGCAATTTCACATAAACCAGTCAGTTCACTTACTTGTGGTATTTTCCCCAAAGTCACAACTCTGCTGAGAAGGAGACTTCATTCCTGCAATGAAGATGAACACTGTATATTTTTTTTTTTTTTACCTGCAGGCAAGTAAAGAGATCAGGAAGTCACGTATACTGTTTGTTGCCATAGCAGAGTACAAGAGTAAGCTATGTTTCAGAGAAGCTTTAAGTGAATCGCTGCCTGTATCATTACTCTGTTATCATTTGGCACACCTTTCTTCTACTCACAGGGTAGGGGCTCACCGTACAAGGGCACAAGCAGTCTCAGTAGCATCATTTCAAGAGGTGACCCAGCTTGATATTTGCAGGACAGCTATGTGGAGTTCTATCCAGATACTTGCCAGATAGTATACTTTTGTCGAAAACTATTGCTGAATCCTCCTTTGGGACAGCTATTCCAAAAGCAGAAGGAATCTTTCTCAGCTGATTCCTGGCTCAGGCACAGTCCCTGCTACCCCTCGCTCTTCTCTTTTCCTCCACACCTTGCCCTCTTGACTCGCCTGTTTTTAATTCACATCTACTACAATGTCAGTCACCCACAAAATTGTGATCACATTAAATTTGATCCTGCTCCTATTAAGTCACTGCAAGTTTTGCCATTAACTTGAGAAAAGATTTGAGCCCATCATCATAAGACGTACACAGTTAGAGTATGTCACACTGTTTGTATAATGTGTTAGGAAAAGCTAAAAGGAAAAAAAAGTTGGTCTGTGGAACTCTTCAGTACTTCATTTCCCCCACATATTCAAATGTTTTAAGTGCCATTTCAATTTCCCTGGTGAAAATACAGACTTAAATTTGAAGTGCAGATGTAGCCATACCACAAATATTGTATCTAAGAGTAAAATTCAACATTGTCTGTAGGACTAGTAAATACTACTAAATCAGTTCGTCTTTCAGAGTAACAGGGTAAATAACTAATGGAATGGGGCAACATTTAGTGTCTGCAATTCACAATTAGTGAAATCTACTTTCTTCTAATAAATCACTAAATGGCAAGTGCTAACTGAAGTTCCAGTGGGAACTGTACACGCATAAACATACAAATT